TACAAAAAATGGTGTGGTGACGTAGACGCGGACGAGGTGTCCGAGGACCTGAGAGACAAACTGACGTCAGAGTCCACGTCCTTCTCGTCGCTGTCCTCGCCCAGCTGCTCGGACGAGATCATCGACTTCTCCAACGACGCGTTCTCTCGTGACGTCACCGACACCCACAGAGAAGAGACTTAGACCCCCCCTCTCTCTTGTTGGAGAGGGGGGAGGGGATCCTTTTGTCATTTGAGGTCTTAGATCACTTCTGCTTCTACTGCACGTGGCGCAATCATCTCTCAGCTTCACATTCGTCTTATAGTCAGCAGGCGTGAGGAGGTCAGATGGAGAAATGGTGCCTGGTGGACTGCTTGCTGGACTGCCTGCTGGTGGTGGGTCCTAGAAACGATTGGATGTTGATTGGGTGGAGATTGTGTGAGGTTTAGTTGGATATCATTTGAGACTCATCCTTACACCAAACATCGCGGGTGTTGACCGCATTGTGAGCGATCAAACTGATTCTTCACCTTTACCGAGTGAGTTACCCGAATTTTGAGTGAGATAGCTCAATATATTTCACCAATTTAAGTAAATTAATTGATTACGTTTCACTAGTTTTGAGATCGGTTTCTGATTACAGCTCAACAATTTTCGAGTAAGATATCTGATTACATTTCATCAAACAAAGTGAGCTAGATGTTTACATTCACCAATCTGAGGGAGCTAGATGTTTACATTTCACCAATCTGAGTGAGCTAGATGCTTACATTAACCAATCTGAGTGAACTAGATGTTTACATTTCACCAATCTGAGTGAGGTAGATGCTTACATTTCACCAATCTGAGTGAGCTAGATGATGATATTGTCATCACAATCTTATCATACTTGTCTACATGTTGGCACTTTGCTTTGTTGACATCTTCAGCTGTCCATGTTGGTAGTGCCGGTGATGGGCTACTGATAACCCATTGACTCAAACACAAAGCAAGAGACCGGCGCTTGATCCAAAGCTTAACTCAGTGTACATACATCATACATCATACATCAAATGTTTTCTTTATTTCAACATTTCAGGGTGTCTGTGTATTGTGTGACATGATTATTTTAATAATGTGACATGATCATTTTAGTATTTGACATAATTAGGTAAGTATGTGACATTAGTATAATTATTTGACATGATTATTATAATTATGTGCATGTGACATTAGTATAATTAATTGACATGATTATTATAATTTTGTGACATGAGTATTATAATGATAATGTTCAAGATGAACATTAATCGTGTGACATGTCTTGACCATTTCTGTTTATTAATCACGTGACAGAAATGGTCAAGATATTTCAAACGTTTATTTTATTTTGGTAAGACCATTTTGTTGTATACATCTCTCCACGAAAGCGGACTATGGTTATATTTAGATACATATTTATAAATAGTTATATGATGATACAAAAGTGTACGCTGAGCCAACGTCCATTGTGAGTGTATATTTTGTTTATTTGTGTTGTGCCTCAAAATCCACAATTTTGTTGCATGCGAAGACGCCATTACAGCGGTGTCCCTCTTCAATCTTGAAGGACACTTAAGTTCACCCTGATGACGTATGTCCTTATTAACCCCCCCCCCCCCCCCCCTTTAAAAATATTTTTTTATTTTTTTT